GTGTCTTTGAATTGGGACTGGGTGACGATGATGCCAAGTAAGTTGTTGTTGTTAATAGCAAGTTTATTCCCGTCTCACCCATGCAATCTTCCTGATAGCATCGAAGACGACTTCATTACGTGGAAGGATCGCTTCTGGCCTGCCGTCTGCGATCACTTCGGCATTGAGGGTGGCGGCGAGGAGGTTCTCATCCGCCAGTACCGTCTGCTGGAGCAACCCGATGTGCAGCCAGACCGCATCTACACGGGCGAGATCGCAAGACTGCATTCCGTGCAGAATCAGCGACCGCCCTTCGACGCCAAGAACCCCTTCCTGGCCCCATCAAGGTCAACCGCGAGCTGCACAAGGGCGGAGGCCGCTCCTGTATGCACATCGAGCTGAGCATTGATGGCTCGAAGATGCGTTATGATGCCGGCGACCATGTGGCGATGTATCCAGTTAATGACAAGGGATTGGTGGGAGAAGTTGGGTCAGCTGTGCAACGCTGACCTGGATACGGTATTTTCGCTAATTAATACGGATACGGATAGCAGCAAAAAGCATCCGTTCCCCTGCCCTACCACGTATCGTACCGCACTGACCCACTATCTCGAGATCACTGCTATTCCTCGCACGCACATTTTAAAGGAGTTGGCAGAGTACTGTACGGACGAGAAGGAGAAGGAGCTGTTGCGCAGCATGGCATCTATCAATCCGGAAGGTGAGTAGTTATATCTTAATCTAGTATTAAATACTAAATAAATTTATACATTTATAGGCAAGGAGAAATACCAGAGCTGGATCCAGGACGCTTGCCGCAATATTGTACACATTCTGGAGGACATTAAGTCGTGCCGTCCTCCCATCGACCACGTGTGCGAGCTGCTGCCTCGTCTCCAACCGCGTTACTACTCCATTTCTTCGTCGGCCAAGCTGCATCCCACCGACGTTCATGTCACGGCCGTGCTCGTGGAGTACAAGACACCCACGGGTCGCATCAACAAGGGTGTGGCTACCACCTACATGAAGAACAAGCAGCCCCAGGGCGGCGAGGAGATGTCAAGGTACCGGTGTTCATACGGAAATCTCAGTTCCGTCTGCCCACGAAACCGGAGACACCTATCATTATGGTGGACCAGGCACAGGTCTTGCTCCATTCCGTGGCTTCATCCAGGAACGTCAATTCCTGCGCGACGAGGGCAAGACCGTGGGCGAGTCAATCCTGTACTTCGGATGCCGCAAGCGCAGTGAAGACTACATTTATGAGGCTGAGTTGGAGGAATGGGTCAAGAAGGGCACTTTGAATCTCAAGGCTGCCTTCTCCCGCGACCAGGCGAAGAGATATATGTGCAGCACTTGCTGGAACAGGATGCCGATCTGATATGGAAGGTGATTGGCGAGAACAAGGGCCACTTCTACATTGCGGGTAAGATCGGGGAATAAGTGTATTATAATTATATGCGATATCATAATTTTATCCATTGTTTCGCAGGGATGCAAAGAACATGGCCGTGGATGTTAGAAATATTTTAGTGAAAATTCTGTCCACCAAGGGCGCCATGAGCGAGGCTGACGCCGTGCAGTATATCAAGAAGATGGAGGCCCAGAAGCGCTATTCGGCCGATGTCTGGAGCTAATCTGACCCCAAAACCAGAGGGAGAGTCATGCGTGGAAGGGGAAGCACGCACAAAATCAGTGGAAACATAGGCCAACCGATAAGCATAAAGTTGTCTAGTTCTTTAAGCTATGTAAGCGTAATTTTGGTTTGGGAACTTTCTGCTGCAGTTCGACAAACAGTGAATGAGTAACGAGTATGTGTAGGCCTAGTTTTAATGACGATGACCAGTTTGCCTTTGGACTGTTACTGTTCAACGGGGCAAGCTAGAAATTATGATGCAACTGAGCGAAGTTTAAACAATTTAGATATTTAAGTAGTTTTGTATGTGTGCAAAATATTTTAAAGTCCTTTTTGCTAGCATTTTATATTGTGTACTCTTGGTGATTTCAATACATTAATCGAAAACATGTGCAATTTTAAGAACGACACTGAAATTGTATTTTCACGAATAAAAAAGAAAAAATGTAATACGTGGTGTTTGTTTTGTTTGTCAAATTAACTGAACAGGTTCGATATATAAAGATGTTTAACTTGTTGAGGTCTAGTTATCTCGATATCTAAAAATTAGAAGAGTAAATCTTCTCCAATGTGGGCCAATCAGAACCTAATTTGCCTCATTGACATATATCTATAAATATAAATTGAATTAAGATATGTTTAAAATGAGAATGCCTAACTAAATAAAGTTGCCTGCTTTTAAATGTTATGTTTTTAATGTTAATAGTAAAATATCATAGGAAGCAAAGCAAAAATAAGAATCACGTAAGAATAAAACGTGAATAAGCAGTGTTCTAAAGGTGAAGCCTGAAATTATGCAAAGCTCTTAGTTCAGGAAACATGTACATACTATGTGATATTTTTTAAAGTAGTTGTAATAAAACTATTTAGGAAATGGTAAAGCATGTTACCTTAGCTGCTAACACTACTACTCACTACTCAACATTCTTTAACTAAATTAGCCTCAGACTTTTTGATATCAAGAGAATTATGCAGCTTACAATCCAATAACTTTTGCAAAGTAAAAATTAAGGAAAATAAACGAAATAAATGAACGAAATAAATTACTTTTGCTTTATTCATGCTTTAATGCTTCCGTTTGTTTAAATTAGGTAGGTATTTACTTTTTAGGTATTACACAATCTGAATGTCAATTGATTTCAATTTTTCGTTCGATTCTTGAACCCAATGAAACCCCAGAACTCTTCCGGGATACTTTGCTGCCAGGGGCAACTTATTTAGATCGTTGATAAGAAGTTTGATAACAAAACAAAAAAAGAAACACTTGGGAATCTTCCCAATCTAATGTTAGCATGTGTACAGATAGCTCGTTTTCATGGGTGTCAATAGGTAAGCCAGATTTCTCGAATTCATTATGGATATTTGTCTACCTTTTTATTCGCATTTTACAGTCTACTATGGATAAATATGTATCTTTTTGGGGAGTAAATATAATCATATTTTAATTGATATTTCACATTTTACAGCTTAATATAGATACAAAATTTATATTTTAGGAAGTAACTATAATCATATTTCAATCAATATTTCCAAGTTATTATTCAGCATCCCTGATGCATATATGCCTTGGAAAAATCATATTAGTTTGTAAACAAAATATTTAACTATATATATTCATCGTTATTACATATTTATTTTGTAAGATTGAGTTTATTAATGAAATCCGATTTTTCCCATAGTTCAGGTGAATAAAAGTATCGCGCCAGAGCAAACAAGAGATAAACTTAATTTGTGTTCTCGACGTGCACACGCGAGCTTATACATAGAACAATTTATACACACGCGTTTCTAACACATATCACCAGGTTGATAACACTCAAAGCAAATACTAGCTCTGTTGACCCACTGACAGGCGGTGTTCCAGCCTCGGAGCACCGCCTGCTCACTGCCAAGAGAATACCTATGACGTGGTCTAGCGTAGCCGGCCAACGGGTTGACCAGACTCAAGAGCTAGACCACAGCGAACTTGAGAGACACCAACTCGAAATTAATTACAGCTCTATCAACCCACTACGAGCATGTGTATTTCGAAATCTCTTTCATTAGTGTTTTGTTTTTATTAAAATTCGGATGACAGTGCAAAACCCGACTGATACTAGACTACGGCTCATCGCACTGAGGAAGCTTCGAGCGAGCAAGCCATTAAGTTCGCACAGTGGTACTAAAATACAAATGTACAAAGATGCTAATTGTTGCATTTGAACAATTATCAAAATTGTTGTGAATAACTCGTATGAAATTAATGGTGATACCTGTAGAGATACTTAATTTGTAATAAATTGAAAAATTACTTTTGGGTTTTATAAAAAGGTGATGCATAAATCAAAACAAACAGATTAATTAAATAACTACTTAATTCATATATTTTATTATTATTTCTTTTGTTAAATTTTTATAATCATTTCCAAATAAAAGTCTCAACCCACTGTTTAAACTATTCTACGCTCATTAAGTTTATTTTCACGATGACACAACAGCCATTTGAAGAGCACGAAATTGTCGTCGAAATAGTTTCCGAGGCACAAACAAATATAAAATGATAGGTTCGCCTCCGTCGTCGTCTCAGTCAGTTCCGAAAGGTGTGCGCGAAAGACTTGTTCAGACGGTAAAAGTTTAGAAAGAAGAACTCTTTGTTGATTACGTGGTTAAACAGATCCGAAATGGTAGTGGTAAAAAATGAGCAGAAGATTTCGGTGCCAGAATATCTGAGCACCGAGTTTTTCACTGAAACCCTGGAGGAGGGACTAAGGGAGTCGAAGGTGACTCTAAAGGAGATCAACTTCGAGTGGGGCAGCAATCCGGGTGACAACTACTGCTCGGCCATCTACCGAGTCCAGCTCACCTTCGCCAAGTGGGTCGATGGCAAGGAGTCGGCCAAGAATGAGCAGCTCTCTTTGATCGTTAAGACCATTCCGATAACGGAGGCCACGCAGTTCCTTGAAGACGTTAGTGTATTTATCAAGGAGAAGCAGACCTATACCGACATACTGCCTCGATTGGATATCCTAAGTCGAGGTGACAAGTTTGGAGCCAAGTGAGTATAGGTTTCTGGTAAATTTCCACAAACGAAATGATTAATGTGGCATGCTTGTTTCAGATATTATCATTCAGTGAAGGCACCAGTGCAGACAATCGTGTTTAGTGACCTCAAGGTGGAGGGATACAAGGTAGCCTCGCGTGAAGCTGGCTTGGACTGGAACCATGCCTCCCTCATTCTGCAGCAGCTTGGAAAGTTCCATGCCACCTCCATGGTTCTGGCCAAAAAGGATCCTGCCATCTTGAAACAGTACACCCGCGGCATGCTGAGCGAAGACATTTTAATGAAGAGCGACACCTTTGAGGTCATGTTCGGCGGCTTCCTCAAGGGTCTCATCAAGAGTTCCGCCACCTGGCCGGGTTTCGAAAAAGTCAGCAAAAACTTACAACGCCTCATGGACAACTTCCGGTCTGTGTGTGTGGCTGCAGCGAAGCCAAAACCCGGGGATCGGTACGTTGTACTTAACCATGGTGACATGTGGACCAATAACTTCATGTACGCCTACGACAACGACGCCCAGCCGGATACACCGACAAGGGCCATATTTGTGGACTTTCAGCTGAGCTTCTACGGCAGCCCCGCCTGCGATCTTAACTTTTTCCTGAACACCAGCCTGAAGTTGGAGCTGCTGCAGGAGCGGCGCGAGGAGCTTATCAAGGTTTACTATGCAGCCTTCAAGGATGCCCTAGAGTACGCCCGCTACGAGGACATTCCCACATACGAGGACCTGCAGTATGAGCTGCGGAGCCGCGAAACCTACGGACTGTTCGGCCTGTTTGCCTTCCTGCCAATGATCACTATGCCAAAGGAGCTGTCCCAGGATAATAGCATTGAGAATATGCAGGACGAGGCTTTTAAGCAGCGCAAAATGGACGCTGTCTTCTCGCAAAAGTCCCTCAACGACTACCAAAAGTGGGGCCTGAAGCGTGCCGAATCCCTTGGCGTCTTCAGCGACTATTAAAAAAATAGTTGGGTTACATTTTGTAACTTTTGTGATATAAATGGGGCTGCGTTTCAACAACATCGACTTAAAGTTATTGGAATTTAATTGATGCAACCAAATAGTTTTGTGCTAAGCGAAAAACTGTTAAGAGTTTGGAATTATCAAGCTTAAGGAGTTGATTAAATAACTGGATCATATATATTTGTTAATAAGTCAATAAAATAATATGTCCAGACGATCTGGGAAGATACCTCTCGCATTTCAAAGAGAATTTTGCAAATTAAGAAGTAATTCCGATTTAATATTTGATGGGTAACTTAGATAACTACGGCTGCGGATGAGATCAAACAACTCTCATGCTTATTATTGAATAGTAGTTACATTTTTACAGTACAGTCCAAAATCAAAGATATCCAAGAATGGATGGAAATCAGATTGCAGTATAAACCAGGCTTGTAGGCCAACTTCAGGGTGTTTAAAAGTCAACAGCAGGCCGGATCAAAAAATAGGAGATACGGACCAGCTAATTTCTCACAGTAAATGAACGACAGGATTGGGCAACTGTTGCCAGGATTGGTCGCGAGAGGGAAGGTTGTTCCTTTGGAAGGAAAGACTAACAACGCCATTGCAGAAAAACGCAATAAGCAATAAGCCTATTGTCCAGCTCAATTTTTAAGATGGAAAGAATATCAAGTGACTAAAACTGGACGCAGAGATGCATATATTTATTTTAAATTATGAAATTTTAAAATGCTACAGTAAAATTGTTTAAAATTTTGGGAAGAACACAAAAACAGGAAATTATATTAAATTGGTAGTACATACTCTTAAATGTCTCCAACTCTATTTAGACTTCAGCTGGGTTCATCAAACGCTAACACCGCTAATCCATCGCATGCATTTTCATTGAATCAATTGAGTAAGGTCCGGTCCAAGATGCGCCGCCCCAGATGACCCAGCCCATTAAGATCAATTATAAATCAAATGCAGCATCGGCAACCCTCTCCGAGATTTTGCATATAAAGCAGTTGGACTCACTGGCAGTCCAAGTCAAATCGCCATGTCGGACGCTGTGGAGGAGCCTCCACTCTATCTAACGCATCAGTTCTTCAGGCGGACACTGGAGCATGGACTACAGCAGATGGATCTGCACGTCCTTGAGGTGCAGCTGACCAATCTGACGCGAGGGGGAGAGAACTACTGTAGCAACATCTACCGCGCTCACATTAAATACCGCAACGCAGAAGGCAGCGTCCTGGAGACATCGTTGATCGTCAAGTCAATGCCGGAGGAGAAGCAGGCGATCCTGTCCCGCCTGAACATTTACAACAAGGAGAGCATCTTCTATATGCACATCAAGCCGAAGCTGGAGACGCTCATGTGGCAGGCTCACAATGCCTCCAAGCCGTGGTCGCTGGGTGCCAAGTGAGTTTCAAGATATATTTGGCCAGTTTTGCCAAGCTGAATTGTACCCATCCGCAGGCACTACTATTCCACCACTCAGCCGGAGCAAACCATCATCGTTGAGGATCTGTGTTCCGAGGGCTATCAACTGAAGTGTCGTCAACTGGGTCTGGACTTGGACCATGCGTCTCTGGTGATGCAAAAGCTGGCCCAATATCATGCCCTAAGCATGATTATGGCCGAATGGGAGCCAGAGACAATCGTGGACCGATATCCCTTCGGTCTGCTGCACATGGACGCCATCAAGTCGAAGCCCTTCAAGTTGCTCTTTGGCACTCAGCTTCTGAAACTTGCCGCCCTTGTGGGGGACTGTGAGGGCTTCGGCTCTATCACCACGAAGCTCTACCGCTACCACGAACACTTCACGGAACGCATTCTCAAGGCTGTATATCCGCTGCGAGGACATCACAATGTGCTAAACCATGGCGATCTATGGATAAATAACATATTTTTCAACTACGATCCGCAGTACAAGGTGCAGGATGTGAAAATTGTATGTGTAGTGTGATTGGAAATATTTAATCTCATATCTAATAGCTATTTTAGATTGACTTTCAGTTGTGCTTCTATGGCAGCCTGGGTTTCGACATCAATTACTTTCTGAACACCAGCTTGGAGCTGGAGGTGCTTCGTTGTAATCGGCAGACGCTCATCGACATCTACTACAAGGCACTGATTGAATGCCTCCAGCACCTGCCGTGGACCAAACCCATGCCCAGCTACGACGGTATTATGGATGAGATCCGGGAACGGGAGGACTACGGTTTCTTTGTGGCCTTTGGCTTCTTTCCACTTATGAGCATGATCGGAGTCGACTCGGAGGACAACTCGCTGAAGAACTTCCACGACGAAACCTTCGCGCGACAGAAAGTTCAACTTATGTTCGAGGGCAACGCTCGTACCCTGGAGAGCTTGAAATGCACGCTGAAGCGTCTAGATGAGATGAAATTGTTTGACTGAACTCTGAACAGCATAATTCGTATAATCATTTAAATTAATTCAATATTTCATTAAACAATTCATATTTGTGGAACAAAACACTTTCTTTTACATTTATGTATAAGAAAATCTGAAATTAATTATAATAAAATATACAAATGCTTGGCGCCTAGGGATATATATTTCAATCTTAACTACCTTTCCTATTTTTGAGAAAATAACGCATTTCGACACACTTTGCGTGCTGCTAATTTACACAAACAAATTATATTTAATTAAGACATGCAACTACTTTGAAGTCCTCAAAATAAACTGAAATTGCTGAGAATATTTCACTAACTTATTTGCATATTAAACCACTTAATTAATAACACAACACACATTTTTACGCCCCATCCTTCAAAATGGAACGTGATAATTATCTTAAATAACAATCATTTTATTGAGAATATAAAATATTCTCTCGGTGTCGAGGTTCAAAATCCCATCGTCATGTTAGTCAGTTATACAAGTCATCAAATCATAGAATAGAATACGTTTTTAATTATATTACAATTTATAAATGAAACGCAACAAATTCTTCTTATATCATTCTTACCGTAAAATTACATAAATCATTTGTTAGTTGCCATCCGGTGTTAAGTGAATTGAGAGATTGAAGTAATTAGTTAAGTGTAACACTAAGCAAAAAGTAATAAAACAATTTTTTATATATGCATGATGCTACTGGAAAATGTATAATATTTTCAGTTATCAATCAGTAGGTCGTTGATTCTGTTTTAATTAATTCAATAAGCGCAATAAATATTTAATAGGTATAACATCGTCCCCACTTGAAGGTCCCAAACATCAGAGATGAGAAACTTTTATGCTAACGTTATAAATGAGTTATCCTTTTGACAGTGATATTTTCTATCAAATAATTGCTTTTAATAGTAAATTAAAACGGCACTCTAATTGTGTTTGTTTAGTAAGAAAGGTCTAATTAGCACTTGAACGTTAAGCTTTGTTATCTACTAACTAAATCGATATTATGCATATATTTTGTACGGGCAAACACTTGATAAGATAATTGACTGCCAATCATCGCGAGTGGGATCTGGCCAGAGAAAGATGAGAACAAATTGTTATTAGCAAAGTTGAATTCAGGAAATTGAATTACTAGTGAAACACGCATGCGAAAGGTCGACATCTCCGGGCGTTGCGTGTTTCGAGAAAACCGAAAAGTTAGAGAATTTGTTGTCGCCTATTAAGAGAATTCCAACTGAGATGAAGTATATATTATAGCCATGTGTGACATATATGTGCATATGTAACTAATTCCGACGCTGGAATCAACCGGGCCAGCACTATAATTTGCCGAGTCGTATATAAATTGAGCATCGTTTGCTGGATGCTTCTCAAACGATCGCAAAATGTGTAGTATTGTGTGCGATGCGGAGGTGACCGCTCTGCCCAGTTACCTGGACGTGGCCTTCTTCGAGGAAGTGCTGGAGACCGCCCTGCGGACGGCGAAGGTCCAACCGCTGGCCATTCACATACGAATGGGCAGCAGCACGGGAGAGAACTACTGCAGCCAGATTTTCCGGGTGAAGATATCGTTCAGACATCCCGGCCAAGCGGAGCAACACCTTATGTTCATCGTAAAGCACATTCCTCGCCTGGATTCGGTGGAATTTATTGAGGACCTACAGGTCTACCTGAAAGAGAAGATTACGTATCATGAGGTGCTGCCCCGGCTGGAGCTGCTGATGCAGTGCAAGCGGCGCTTTGGACCCAAGTGAGTCATATTTAATATAATAAATAATATATAATAAATTAATATTAAATATAACGCTTATCATTTCAGACTCTATCACTGCATCAAACTGCCGGAGAGCAGCTTGGTGTTCGAGGATCTGGGTCAGTTGGGCTATACAATGGCCTCTCGTGAGCTGGGCTTGGATGAGGACCATTGTCGTCTGGTCATGGAGCGCCTGGGTGAGTTCCATGCCACCTCCATGGCCCTGGCGGTACTGGTAAGTTTAAATAAAGAATACATGCTTACCTTACTAAAACGGACTTCGGATAGGACCCCCATATTTTCGAGGCCTATGGTGATGGAATGCTCTCACCGGAGGGTCTAGCAAAGGACGATGGTCTGTTGATGCGCTTTTTCTCGGGCAATGGCCAGGAACTCCACACCCTAGTGAGCTCTTGGCCCGGCTACGAACGCATCGCTGACAAAATCGGAAAGTATATGCAAGACCAACGAGCCAATTTAGTCCGCAGTCAGGCCCCGCAGGAGAAGGAAATCAAGGTTCTTAACCATGGCGACCTTTGGGTTAATAACTTCCTCTTCAAGTACGATTCGGCGAAGCGGCCGCAGGACATAATCTTCATCGACTTCCAGCTGAGCGTGTGGGGCAGCCCGGGCATCGACCTCAACTATTTCTTCTATACCAGCCTCAACCTCGAGGTGCTTCGCCACCGGCGGCCCCAGCTCCTACGTACGTACCATGCCCGCCTGTCCGACACGCTGCTAAGCCTCGACCTAGGTGTACCTGTGCCCAGCTACGAACAGATCCTGGAGGAGGTGAATCGCCGCGAGGCCTACGGCTTCTTCGCCAGCTACGGCATCTTCCCTACTGTTAGCCAGGACAAGGCCCAGACGGCCGACAACAACCTGGAGAACTTCAAGGATGCGGACTTTGCCAAGCAAAAGGTGCGTCAAATGTTTGGGTCGCGACGACTGGCGGATACCCTTCGTTACACGCTGCCACACTTTGAACGCGCCGGCGTACTGGGTTGACTTACTAATAGGACGGTTTACTTGTTTTAGTCAAAAGGATTATATTGTTGTAGCCATAAAGACGAGTTTATTGTTATTCACAGTTGGCATTTCACTTGGGTTAGATAGAAATACGAAGGTACATCGCCTGCGATAATTAATAAGGATAAAATGTCCTAATTGTATCAGGCATAGCACTCCGCCTTTTCGTTTTATTTGAAGAAGGATACTGGGAACGTAGATTTGAATGAGGATTTTAAGAAGCTTGATTTGAAATTAAATGTAATTACAAAGCAAGGAATGGGTATTTGATACTTCTAGAAAATCTTCCAATTTCCAATCAAAAAGATGAGCTTTTTTGTTAGCGGAGCTTTTCTTTACAGTAAAAATTTCCATTTCCCATTACAATTCTGTGTTCATTGGGAAATTTATACCATTCTGTTTACACTTTTCCCAACCTTTTCCGGAATTTTACCAGTATCCTTTCTTCGGAGTAGGTTTAAGTATTGGGTATTAATCAGGTTTAGTTTACATAAATATATGTATAAATATATTCCATATTCTTATATAAGGAAATTAATTACTAATAGTTCAATAATTTTTTCATATTTTTTGAGGCGAATGCATTTTTTAAATATTCCTTAGTACTTAAGTAAACTTCTATAAATGTTTGAATTAATGCATTAATGGTATTTTTTTGGTTATTGACTTTCTACTCCTTTTTGTTAAGTTAAGTTTTTTGTCACATTTTCACAATTCCAACGATGTAACCCCTTATAAAATTAAAAAACACATTTTGATCAATAATGTATTTGGAATATACGGCCTTAAATGACTTCTTCGCTCCATTGCAAGCTTCTGACTGATATAATAATATAACAAGGGTATAAAAATGTAACTACAACTTAAATTATCAAAATGGTTCATCATTCGGAAATACGTATACGTATGCATGCGTGAAAAATTTCAATCCCATCTTCCCATTTGAGTCTTTAAGTTCCAGAGGCTTATACAGATGAATGTGAACGAATCTGGAAGGGAGTATGCCCGCGCTGCACCTGGTATGAGCATTAACATGCGAGTTAATTAAGCCGTCATGAACTGTAAACTGGAAAAACACGTGACATGCGGAGCTAACTGCATACAGAGAATGTTTAGCCGCAGGCAACTCAAAGGCGAAGAGCCAAACTCAGTTGGCCTTCCACGAAACATTGCGCTTTGTTTGTGGCCTCTAGGATCCTGACCCCCGACCCACGAACGCTGAATTTGTAGCCAAAAAAAAAAAACAACTGTTGATGCGTATCGTAGAGCTTGGCATCAAAATGAAAAAAAAATATCCCATTTTGTAGTCCAGTCACTTTAATTTTTAGTGCTAAAAGAAAGTATTTAAAATTATGTTTAATTTAGGATATAATGATATATGAGGTGCTACAGAAATCACCATTTTGAAATCCTTTTATCATGTTTATAATAATGTTTTAGAAGAAGGTTCAGAATGTTTCAATAGACCCAGTTTTCACTTAACTGAACCTAGTAATTTTTGATGCTGATCAAAAATCCACATTCGCACTTGTATGTATATCCTTTGTGGTGTCAAATACCTGTTTGTTAATATGTAAGAGTACTGTGAAATGGGCACATGCTTTTTAAGCCCAATCTGGATTACCTCTTCTCCCCTCTCAACTCAATGGCTTTTGTGGGCGTTATTTTTATACATATGTACATACATATGTGGAATAAATGTGGCGTTGCGTTTCGTTAAACGAACTGCATTAATAAACAACGGCGCTTAAATGCGCGATTGGACACAAATTAGTGACCAGGCCAGACGAGCCAAACTGCCCCCGGAAAATGAAGCCATGGATTCTCCTCTCCTCCCGCCATTAGGCGACGCTGATGTATGCGATTTTAATCGTACGTTCAGACATAAACAACCAGAATACAGGACAGCCGAATTCCATGGCAACCCCGTTCCCAGACGAGACAAAAGGATAATGGAGTCGCTCGAACACACACACACATGTATTCCAAAAAGTAGACACAACACTGACAGACGACGCACCGAATAAATGACCATAATCAAACACTTTACGCCTGAAAGCATGCAGCACTGTTTTCCCTATTTCCGATGCTCCCGACCACCACCTTCCGCCCGTTGAGCCGGCCGACAAAGAAGACTTTGTGAGAGCATACGATTTTCCTAAGCTGAGTATCGCTGGCTTCCTATCTGTGCATCGACGGACATCCACTCCCAGTAGACGACGTTGCCGGTGGCGAGATTTAATTAGTACCCTCCAGTAGTCCTTTAGTTGTTCAAATACTCTATTTTTAGGGGGGAATCCTCTATGTGAAATACGCTTTAGATGCTCAACCGATGACTGAGCTCAAGAGATTCGAACTTTGATATGGATTTAAAATTAATTATTATGAATAAATCTGAAATTTGTAAACAAAAATTATGTTTCATAAAATCCTTTTGGGTGCTAAGCTATTTACAGTAAGTAGTAATGCATTGAGATTACATTTAACAACAAATGTGTTTTTAATTACCTGTAGATTGTTCACATTCTTTTGAATAAAGTTCAGGAGCAATCAAGTACATATTTTATAAACTTTTTCTTTTGAAAAATTATACTTTTATTTCAATTTTTATTGTGTTTTAGGCAAAATATATTCGTTGGATGAGCTCCTTAGTTATACCAGCAATTTCTCGTCCCTTAAATTTCATTATAGTCGGCTGCACGACGCTTTCATCTTTTTTTTCTAGGACTAGCTAGGGCCTAGACTGATTCGGATGCCCTTTAATCACAGTTGGCGTAAATCAAACACAAACAAATGCCATCACCATCACCATCATCATCATCATTTCTATCCCGGACTGAGCTCTGTCCAAAAGGAGGACGAGTTGTATCGAGCATGGGGATACGTTCCTGCCGAAAACTGTTGCATACTGTTCAGAGTCACACAGGACGAGGCGAATGCTTTGCATACTTTTTAGCTGCGTGGCCGAGCGCATGAATAATTGATTTCCATTGCAGGAATGGCGACATTCACCACCCAGGACCCCTTCCTTCCACCCACTGTAGCTCTCTCTCATTGTCGCGAATTCATTTGTCAGTTTGCTGGTCGGTTTGTCTCTTTGTCTGTTTGTCCGTTGGCATGTTTATTTGTTTGTGCCGCTGTCGCATGCAACATATTTTTACTTGTGTTGCGCTGCGGGGATCTCCGCATAATTCCCACCAAGCCCAGGCCCTCGCCGAGAGCTCTGCACATTGTTTTTTCAGGCTGTCGCTTATCAGTTTATTTTTGCTCATGCCATTTGCGTGTGCCATTGCCGCCAATCTGTGTCCCTACACAGAGAAGAAATATAACCGAATCTGAATAGTTCTACAGGAAGCACAAAGGGTTTGGAAACCTATTTGAGGGATTTAAAAAAAAAACCATAAGGATTTAATGTTCACCGTATATTTCTACAACTAAACAGAAGGGGTATAGTCGTTGTATAGTTGTTACTAAGGATTTATGCATCTTCCCGATTTAATTCATTATATCCTTAATAACAAAAAAACCAGGTATAATCCTTTAAGGGTGATAAGGTTTGCAATTATTTAATTAAGCTAATTAATTATTTCCTAATTAAAGTGGTAAAATTCTGTTAATTTGATTATTACTATATATCGATTACTTATATCCACTATATTTGTTAAAATTAAAGACACAATATGAAATTTATCAAATTATTTCTGTGTATCTCCTCGGTAACCCCCTTTGAGCGTTGACGTATGGTTCGGGAATTTAATCCGGACAACGCATTAAGGGTTGCCATGGCTTCTGCTCCTTCCTGCGACCCTTGCTCATTTTGGCTAACATTTATTTTCAGGATTCAATCTTGTTGGTGACTGCATTTAATTTCCATAAATGCTTCCTATGCTGTATGTTATGGGTATTAGTAATAATAACTTATTACAGCTATTAGACTGTCCAATACGGAAACTCGATTCGTAATTGCAGTGGTTAGTATGTAAGGAGGGTCTCCAAAGAGGTAAGGGAAGTATGAATAATAGTATGAAATAATTGCATGGTGAGCCTAGGTAGTCAGCCAGAGTTAAATTATAGGCTAAACTTTGGCAATCAACTTGACCGAAGGTAGCCTTCCCTATATTTTTTTACTTTCATCGTGAATTACAATGACATTCCGATGCCTTTACCAAATAGGGGACGTATATATAATATAAGTCTATGAAAGGATATGTCTATGAATAAAATGAGTTCTATCTGTTGAGTAAACCTGGCACCGTGTTCAGGGGAAAGTTCCCAAAAAGGACTTCTCTCAGTAGGGGAATCCACCCCCAGGACTTCTGGATTCCAGGACATTTTTCTCTCGCTCTCTAGCTATTACCGGGGATATTTCCTTTTGTTTTGGGTTATTTGGCTGCCAGTCGTGGCGGCAAATCTTGTGGGGATGGTTTTTCCTCGCTGATGTCGTTGCCCAGGTGCATCAGGAACGAGAAGCGAGAAGCCTGTGAGAGCGAGGGCTTGTGGGCTGGGGCTTGCTCTAATGGAAACTGAGACACCAGTTGATTGCTGGGTTCACATCTCCGGGCTGGATTATATTGCATTTGTTTTCTGTTGCTGGGCAGCTAGGAAATGACAGGCAAAGTTCACAAAGAGCGTGTGAGTGGGGGTAAATCGTAATTATCATGCGTTTTCCCATTTGCATCGGGGGGTGTCATAAATCAGCGCATTCATTCTCTCGAGCCCCCAAGGACTATGTGTGTGTCCGGCCGGACATCCTGCCTGTGCATTGAGAATCGAGCGGGGGACGACATTAAAAGGCTCAAATTATCGTTGATTTCCTGGAGGTAAACATTCATTGAACCTTGGCATATACACAAATTTTGGGAATGGTCAATCATGGTGTTTATATTAAAACACTTTAACTTTAATGTGAAAAAATGTTTACATTTTTATGACAGGTTGCCTATTTGAAAATAGAAAAGGTGTTTTGGTTTAGCTCAGTAAGACTTTGAAACCAACTCCGCAAATACACGCATCAACATCGGTTTCCTTGATTCATATGTTGTGGTTTGACTTATG